ACAGAGAGAGAGAGAGAGAGAGAGAGAGAGAGAGAGAGAGAGAGAGAGAGAGAGAGAGAATTGCTGAGGCCACCTCTTGCTTTCCCTGCCTGTACCAGTGCCCATTGGACTTCAGGCAGTCCCCTGATCACCTGGAATCAGGGCTTGAGGCAGATGCAGAAGCAGAGAGCTTCTGATTTGGGATGGGAGTACAGGGGAAGGGAGTTTCTGGTAGTTGCCAAATTAACAACAGTGACGGGAAAGGAGGGCAGTGATGGGCAAAACCCCCTGGTGACAGAATCGAATGGAGGGGAATTTAGAAGCTGTGGATGAGCCAAGACAAGACCTGTTTAATTCATAGAAAGGCTCAGTGTTTGCTCTTTCTCACAGTTTTTTTCCACTGGTTAGTACAAAGAGGGTGATGCTAGATTTTTAGTAAAGATATGGGAACTTGGTAAAATATCTTTATGTTAAGAATGCCTCAGCCACATTCTCAGAAATGAGAGCAGTACATGGTGTGGCCATGTCACACCCTGATGAGCTGTGGTTGCCTGTGGGCACCCAGAGAGAGAGGCTTGGGGCTGTCCAATTACTCAAAGCCCCTGGACACCATTATTCCATTACACAGAGCCCTTTACACACATGCTCATGTGCCCACACACACACACACACTCACACACACACACACATGCACACTCACACATGCACGCACACTCACACACCATAGAGAAAATGAGGTGACATGTCCGCCACATCCGCCAGCCATGAAGAGGTCTGGGAGGACTTGGCTGATCTAACTTGGCAGGTGGCTCCTTCCTCCTGCTGCTCCAGGTGTAGACTTTCAAAGACTTTATCCAGAAACAGAAGTTTCCCACACAGAGGACCATTCTTTGATCACCACGTGGGGATGGCTGCTTCAATATTCGCCCTGCTTCCTACATTGTCATCTTACGTAGAAATTTCCTGTTAGACATCAGTAAAAAGAGCCATAGACAATCTAGAGTCAGTTTTAAAATTTTAGGGAAATTAACAATCTTTATTTAATACCATTACAGATAAGTTTGGGAACCTATGAGGAAACCATTTCTACAGTTTCAGGTATATTTTTTGTTGTTATTTTAACTTTCTACTCTCCACTTCATGGCAGGGTGAAGGCCTCTCCATCCTCTTTCTTTCTGCTCCATTCACACATCCTACCTCTGATCAGCTGCTCAAGCTATTGATTCTGTTTCCCATTTTGCAATGAGAGCTAGAAAGCTCAGAACCAACCCTGTGGCTTACCTATGGCCAGAACTTTTTTCAGCTGAATCTTATTGGATTTTCCTTTCCACTCAATTTCTTTAATTATTTATTTTTTAACCTTCTCATATGTTGCAAATAAGCCATCTAAATCCTTTCGAGAACTGGCTGAAAGTAAGATAAATAAGAGCCCCATGTTACCCATCCCCTCTGCTTCTGACCACCACAGGCTCCATGCTTTTCCTTATACAGAAACCCCTCGCTCCCTCATCCCTTTCCCAACAGTCCTCCTACCCATCCACAATTCTCATCCTATGGTCCCCATGCTACAGCCATCTCTCTTCTAGTTCATGATCAGCAGCCTTCTCTTGACCCACACTCCCTTCAGTGCTGTTGCCCAGGCTGGCTTCTTTTGTCTCTGGCTGTTCATATAACTGGCTCCATCTCATTCTCCATTCTCATCACCTGATTGTCAGACCTTCCCTGGCCACCTTTCTAAGTAAGGTCCCCTGCACCCTGTTATCTCTATCACACTTACCTCGTTCATTTATATATATTTTTATCTCTGTGCCTGATTCCTTACTAAATCAGAGATTCACAAAGACAGAACATGTGTCTGTTTCTCCCACCTCACTATACCTAGCAACTAACCCTGTGCCTCAAACCTAGTAGGTCCCTGCCCTTGTCTGTACCATCTTCAGTGTGTGTGTGTGTGTGTGCATTTTGATTGAAACAAAATTCACATAACAAACAATTAATCATTTAAAGAGCACAAGTCAGTGGTAGTGAGTGCATTTACAATGTTGTGCCAACACCATCTCTTTCTATATAGAAGGTTCTTTTAAAAAATATACTATTATTGTTGAAAGTATTACAAATGTCCTCCATTTCTCCCCTTTGCCACCTCCACCCAGCTCACACCCAAAACCAGGCCTTCACTTCACTGTTGTCTGTGTCCATGGGCTTTGCATATATGCATATAAGTTCTGTGTGTGTGTGTGTGTTGTGTTTTGATTGAGGTGAAATTCACATAGCAAGCAACCATTTACAGAGCACAGTTCAGCTCAGCTGGTGTTGCTCAGGGCTTGAGCATCAACCTATGAATCAGGGGGCCATGGTTTGATTCTTGGTCAGGGCACATGCCTGGGTTTCAGGCTTGATCCTCAGTGTGGGGCATGCAGGAGGTAGCAGATCTATGATTCTCTCTCATTGTTGATGTTTCCATCTCTCTCTTCCTCTCCCTTCCTCTTTGAAATCAATGAAAATATATTAAAAATAAATAAATAAAATAAAGAGCACAATTCAGTGGTAGTTAGTGCATGTACAACATTGTACCAACGCCATCTCTTTCTACATAGAAGATTCTCTATACATGCTTTTTGATTGAATAAATACGTAAATAAAATTACTGGAGTAAATTGACTACTTTTTTGCACCTGGTTCATTATAGCCCCATTTTCACATACTAATGGCCACGAAGGCCTGAGTACATATACTGGAGCACATCAACCTGGCAGAGAGGACAAGACCTTGTCCCAGGGTCCAAGTATCTGATCATTTCCCCAAAGGCAAAAGCGGTAGTGAGAGTGTTGAGCACCCCAACTGTTCTGATGAGGCACACCAGATCCATAGTCTGCAGTAGATGCTTGTACTATGTTCAGTATTGAGAGAAAAATATTCTTTTTTACTCATCCCACTAAAGTATAGAAATCATGTACTTCTCAGTATACCAAGACATAGCCATGACACCCAAATATTCATATTTGCAAGTTTCCTTCCTGGGAGGTGTTTGCTATAGCCAGTTGGAAATTTCCTCTCTTTAGGATTTGTTTTCAAAGCTTGGCTTTCCCATATCCTTGCAATGACTTCAAATGCAAGATATTTATAATTGGATTTTTGTCATTGAATATTTAAAAACAAAGTCATAAGGTCTAGGGCAGGCAAAGCATTATGAATTATTTAACAAGGGAGGTTATAAGTAAATGGACACATCAACCTTGAAAGCTGAGCATCCTGAGAATCCTATATAATAAAAGGGTAATATGCAAATTGACCCTAACAGCAGAACAACTGGGAATGACTGGTCGCTATGGCACACACTGACCACTAGGGGGAAGATGCTCAATGCAGGAGCTTCCGACTGGTGGTCAGTGTGCTCCCACAGGGGGAGCTCTCTCAGCCACAAGCCAGGCTGATGGCTGCCAGCACAGAGGTGATGGTGGGAGCTTCTCCTGCCTTCTCAGCAGTGCTAAGGCTGTATGACTGCAGCTTAGGCCTGCTCCCCACTGGCAAGTGTACATCCCCTAAGGGCTCCCAGGCTGACAGAGGGATGTCTGACTGCCAGCTTAGGACTGATCCCCTGGGGAGTGGACCTAAGCCAGCAGGTGGACATCTCCTGAGGGGTCCCAGACTGTGAGAGGGCACAGGCCGGACTGAGGGACCCCTCCAAGTGCACAAATTTTTGTGCACCGGGCCTCTAGTAATATATAAATGACTATGCATCTCCATGCCATGATTGGTCTTCAGTGACATATAGATGCCCACCAATCCTGAATAAGTAACAATTAATACAAAATTAGAAGAAATGAGAAGAGATTCTCATGTCCCATTCATTTTCCCCTATGGAATTTTATCACCTCCTCTAACTTTCTTTTTCTATTGGCCTAGATTAAGATTTGCTGTTCTCAGCCCTGATATAATAGTCTGATTAACTTGCCAGTCTCCAGCCCTACTATCTTCTATCCACCCAACCTTACTCTGAGAGATAGATTAACCTAAAACACAAAACATATCTCTTCACTTCCCTGACCAAAACCTTTCAGAGTCTCCCCACACCCTATAAAATCCAAGTCTCTTAGCCTGGCACTCAGATCCTCTATACTCTGGCTCATCATTCAAACCTGAAATGGAATTCCTCTCATGCCTTTGTCCCAGAAATGCTGTGCACACCCTGCGTTGAGCCTCATCCCATTCTATTGGACCCCACGCCAGCCCATCTTCACCCTGTTCAGATCATTATCCTTGCACTTTCTTGGGCCTGTTTGTTTATAATTCTTTTTTCTTCTCCCTGGAAGAGTGCCTGTCATAGACGTGGTGGGCACTTTGGTTGTTTAAGTGAATGGAAGGGGCCTTAGCACAAACCCTCCCCTGACCTCAGCTTCCCAATAAGTAGAAATCTTTCCCTCTGAATAGCCATCACCCTTTATTTCTTTCTCTAACATAAATTTGTACTTTCTAATTCACATCTTCCCCCAAAGACTGTTTAAGTCCCTTAAGGATCAGTCAGTGTAGTCAGTGATTAATCTTTGTTGCCTCTGTAGGATATAGTGTAGTGCCTTGTGTTTTAAAAACCAATGTGCACACACTTGGGAAGTTTGAACTGATTTTTTAAAGGAGTTGTTTGTTCAATCTGCTTTTAAGTACTTGGATGGTGGTCAATAAGTTATTTGTTTGTTAAGATGTAGTGAATCAGTGATTTAAATGCTCATGTACTGATTATCGTGATCAGTATGTCAATCCATGTCCCTTTAGGGAGGTCAGGGGAGGGGAGGGGAATGACTGTTAGATACCAGCTTATAGCATCTATGGACAATGGTTACCACTGCTACTCCTTTAAGAATCACTAGTAGCTAGCGAATAGGAAAAAATAGAGGTTATGAAATTGGTATCATTCTATATACAACTCAAAATGGAAATTTGCCAATAGCTGGTTATTTGTGCACTTTAAATGACTCAGTACAATTACTACAGTTCCACAGTTTTTTGTTTGTTTGGGAATTTTTGGAAAGGGTTATAATCTTCCCTTTGTCATGTTCACCGTAATGACTTCTGAGACGCTGATAAATTATAACCCAAGTTACTGCTTATTCTTTTTATACAAAGTACTTTTCAAATTAAACATAACTTGAAGTACACTGATCATCACACTAAAATGTAGGTTGTTTTTATGAAAAGCCATAGGATCAACTTTGGAAGCCCAGTGTGCTCACAGGGCCTGATTGACAACAGCTGTGAGCAGCAATGTGCGAGGTAGTTGGACAAATGCTGATGATACGTTGTCATTTCTCTTTTAGAAAAGCAACAAGATGGTCCTCGGCTAGTAATTGGAAAAGGACTTCAGAGAGTAGCCGCTCATGTAACAGGGAAAACTCGAAGCACGACCCCATTCCCAGTTCCAAGTAAGAGAAACAACAAATATATGGTTTTAAAGGAAGACAATGGAAGACTATGTTCCAAATAATTCATTCTATTAACTTGTACCTAAAATGTGTATATAGCTACCTACAAATGCTCAGCA